GAATGTTATGTCAGGTTTACTACTGTATTTCCTGAAGTGTAGTAGGCACTTACTATTTGGAAATGAATGGTTGTCCTACATAGTTACTTACTGACATGTATTCATATTTCTTCCTTGGTTCTTACTTCTAGCTACAAAAAAAAAAAAAAAAAATCTGTTAGTGGTACCATATTTTCAAAGACAGTGTAAAAATAGCATCTAACAATTAAAGAACGTGAAGCCAGGTAGCGATATGTCCTGATGGCTATTTTAATGTTTTCTCAAACTCGATAAAATATGGCATATTGAATTAGGAGTATACAAGTGGATATAAAATGAGAGAAAGGCTTATATTTTTACTTCTTCCTCAAAGTAGAAAAGACCCTGAAGAATGGTTTAGATTTCTAGTAGGAATAACTCATGAATTCTGCTACTTGAATAATTAATCTAGACTTCCTGTTCCAGCTGTGGAATAGCTTATATCAGACTAACCCTCCCACCAAGAACAATTATAAAAACTGGGCACAATGGTTTGAGGGCACTGGAGAGCAGCTCACTCAGGAGGACCTCCTAAGGGAAGGTCATTGCCATGTAAACATTGGCTTTTTCTCTGAGGGCAATTTCCAAGTCACGGCGTAGGGTGGTAAAGGCCAGGCCTGAAGTGGCAGGCATTTAGGGCAGAGGAGACTGTGGTCCTGGAGCTACCAGGTGGCTGAGACACAGGGTACAAAATATCAAGAGAGGAAGAATTGCAGAGGAAAAACCCCAAAAACCAAAAATTTATGTACAAATATTCCTCAAGTTGTTGGCTGATTCTGTGGTCACACATAGAGCAAGGCCCAAAGAACCCAGCAGAAGATGGCAGTTGGAGGCTAAAAGGCAAAGGACAGCATTTAACAGCCACATGGGACTGGGGAGACAGGTTAGTGCTGAAGGCTACTAAGGTGGCGGGTCCCTGGTAAAGACCTCAGGCTCCGTGCCAAGATTGCAGAGGGCCACTCCCTAGCAGTAGAGGAGAGACTGAGCTAGACCTCCCTTAACAAGGCCTGAAACCAAGGCAGCCTGCCCGTGTTCAGCCTGCGTTTCAGAAGAAACTTAACTTCCTGAGAAAGAAAACAAAGTCTCTACACTTTTTTTGTCTTCCAATAAAAAATTACAAGGCAAGCTGGAAAAAACAATCAGGAAGATATCCTAAAAATGCATCTGCACAATAGAAATGTACATGAGTCACTGTAAAAGTTTTCTTAATAGCAAAATATTAGAAATATGCTAAATGATCACCAATAGAGGATTGATTAAATTATATCTATTCATGAGCTGTGGTAGTTTTCACAGGTACCGTAGCATTTGGGAGTCGACAGTTCTTTATTGTATGGTACAGTCCTGACCGTTATAGGACAGGTTACATCTTGGTCCCCAGCGCATTAAGTGCAAGATGCACCGTCAAAGTTTGAGACAACTCAGAATGCTCTCACACATTTTCATATGCTTCTGGGGTGGGGCATTTCAATTGAAAATCATTAATATCATGAAATCTTGTACAGAGGTAAAAAAAAAAAAAAAAAGAGAGAGAGTTGTTTATGAGGTGAGATGGGAAGACCACTGAAGTATATCGTAAGAATAAAATGCAAGGGCCAGAGCAGTAAGTACACTTTGCGATCTGTTTTGCTTAAGAAAGGAGGAAAATATATATTTGGATTGCTTAAATATGCATAAAAATTATATGCTAATACACAGAGCTACTAAGAGATTATCTGTGGGGCCTGGTGGCATGAAGAGAGAGATTTCTGGGATGAAATATATTTACGTAATACTTTTCTATGTTGTTTTATTTTTCGAAAGCATATATTAACGATTCAGACACATTTTTTAAAGTAAAATTTTAGATATAAATAAGCTATTGTGTTAGATATAGTACTTTCTGAGAGATTTATTGAAAGCGTGCGTCATCATTAAAACACGTTTCGGTGTTTTTCCGATTCTGCTTCCTCCGCCTTTGCTCGCGTGCAGCGGAGTGGGACGGAACTGGGGCTGGGCCTCGGCAGGCAGCAGCATTCTCGCTGAATTCGGAACGCTGCATATGGAGTTTGTCCACCTCAGCTACTTGACCGGGGACCCCATTTACTACAAAAAGGTCAGTTTCCTTGCCTTCTTTTCTTCGTTCGTTATAAAAGAGTCCTTTAAGATTTACCGAAAGACTTGATTAATGCTTAGAAAATGTTCGCCTTCCTGGAAATGTTTATCAGGAATGTCGCCTTCATTTTCTTTTTAAATTAGCTAAAGAAATGTCCTTTCTATTTAGAACATACTTAAAATATTTACCGTTATCTGAGCAGTTGTAACCACTAGTGGGCTTTTAAAAATTTCATCGCCATCTCTATTCAGCATCGTGCTGAAATTCTGAGCGAGCACAGTAAGGCGAGAAAAGCAAAATGAACAAAAAGTTCAAGAATTGAATTGGAAGGGAAGAAAGAAAACAGTAATTAATCACAAACTAGGTGATTATTTACCTAAAATATGAAGATAATCAACATTTAAATTATTAAAAATAAGAGCTTAATATGTTTTTTGAATAAAAGATTAAAAATCAGTAGCATTTCTCTATACCAGCTACAAGCAGCAAGAAAGTATCACTTTACAAAAATATTCATTATGTGGTAAGAACATAAGTGTAGATTTTCTACAAATAAATATAACAAAAGATAAACAAAGTTAAAAACTTTAATAACATTGAAGAGGACCTTAATGGAGAGAGATATCATGTTTTTGTACAGTTAAACGGTATAAGAATTTCAGTCATCTCCAAATTGATCTGTAGCATCAAGTCAATGCCAATGGAAACTCTGATGGCTTTTTTCTTCATCTTTTTATCGTTACTTGATTTTTAAATGACGATCATATGTCATTATAAAAATGCGACATTTAAAAACTAGAAGTGCTTCTCGACCACCACACACAAAAAAGGCAAGGGCAATGGCATAGATTTTGAGTGAGGAAAAAACAAAGCCCGGATTAATATAAAGCCGTGATGACATTAAGTTTTGTTAATTGCATTCTTAATTTTATTTTGTTTAGGTCATGCACATTCGGAAACTGCTTCAGAAAATGGATCGCCCAAATGGTCTATATCCAAATTATTTGAACCCAAGAACAGGTCGCTGGGGTCAGTGTAAGTATTCCTGGTACAACTGATGCTTCGTTAAAAGGTCATGTCTGAAAACTTTTGTTTGACGTAGTGAAAAGTAAGCACATGTAGCGTGAGAAGCCCTCAGCGTCTAACCCTGTGATCTGCTGGTGCCGTTACCTTTGGCAGGTTTCTAATCTCTCGTAGCTTTAGTTTTCCCACTTGTAAAATGGAAATATTAACAACCTGTCTTCCAAGAGTATTTAATCTCGTGTACGTATAAGTACTTTGTTAAAATATGGTGTGGCATTTGCCAAGGGTTGTACTTTAAGCCCCTATTTATAAAACATCTTCATGTAAATAAGGGCATTGCTTGAGATAGGTATTTTCTAAAGGAATATGAAGAACAAATGCGAATCTTAAATGATTAGAAAAGGCAGCAGAGTCATTCATTTTAAAAGAGGGTATCAGTGTCTTGTTGGTAGGCTCTTGTGCCAAGTCCTGTGCATGAAACTGGAGATGGGGAAAGGCAATGCAGGACTTAGTCGGAATTCGGGGAGCTCCCCGGCCCGCGGGGCAGCCAGACGCACTTAGAGCAGCTGGACTGTGCTGTGATAGATGGTACAGCAGAGGGTCATCCCGACTGCGACGTGAGCTGTTTGCCACAGAATTGCCTTTTGGGCTGCTCTCAAGGACATTGTCTTTTGTGTCATCAAAGGAGAGCAGATTGGTCAGTACAGGTGTATCTTTCCTGGATCGGGGAATAAATCTCAATCTTTTGGCTTCTCTTACGTACTTTTCTTTTCCTTTCCTGAAATTCTTTATGTGTAGCTCATCTTTCTAGATCTGATGATTCTGAGACCTAGTGGAAATGGTACTTTCTGAAAAAACCAGACCCTGAGAGTAGCATTTCTAAAACATAAAAAATGTACTTTTCTTATTTTAGATAAGGATGACTGGTTCGGATGTCTACTCGGTAATTTGGGTGAATTTTTTCCCCTTAGAGTTATATTAGGATTTGGGAATATTCTAACATGGGGGGTGGTTTATGTTCACTTCCTTCCTTATATTATAAGCCAGTATATATTCTGTATGCTATAACTAACTGTAAAAAGTGAAACCATAGAAGTACTAAAAATTGGCTGATTATAATCAGGAAAGCCTTTTCTAAGCATGTCACATAAAGCAGAAACTGTAAAGAGGAAGGCATCAGTTTTTACTATATTTAAACATTAATCTCCTACAGTTAGTTCATAACAAAAGGCAAGTAACAGGCCAAGCAAATATATTTGAATATATTTGGAAAACAAAGTTTTTATATCCTGTACGATGCTGGTGAGAAAGTAAAATGGTGCAGCCACTGTGAAAACCAGTCTGTTGTTTCCTCAAAAAGTTCAACGTGGAATTCTGTGCGATTCAGCAATTCAGCTTCTAGGTACATACTCAAAAGATTTGCAGACAGGGACTCACACGGACACTCATATGCTGATGTTCACAGCAACACGATTCACAATAGCCAAAAGGTGGAAACGACCAAGTGTCCAACAGACGAATAGATAAACAAAATTGGTATATCCATACAATGGAATATTATCAACCCATAAAAAGGGATGAAGTTTTAATACATGCTTACAACATAGAAGAAAATCGAAAACACGCTAAATGAAAAAAGGCAGTGACAAAACGGAGAACTGCTGTATGAGTCCACGTATATCAAATATCTAGAGCAGTCAAGTTCATAGACACAGAGTGGATTAGAGATTACCGAGGGTTTGGGCGAGAGGGGACGAGGGTTATTACTAGGTACAGAGTTTCTATTTGGGGTGATGCAAAGTTTGGAAATAGTGGTGATGGTGGTTCAACATTGTGAGGTAATTAACGCCACTAAATGATACACTTAAAAAATGGTTAAAATGACAACTTTCATGTTATACATATCACAGTTTAAACATTGCAATAAAATAATTCTTTCTTGTTTTTCCTCACAAAAAGAATTCACATTACTTCTTCGGAATATGTTCATTCTCAGCAGTTATTAATTTCGAGAATGTTATAGAAAGCTAGTCACTGTTTTTTTGGCACGGGGTCTGAAATCCTATAGGAGCCTCTCTGATAGCTGTTCAGCAGCTGCAGTGCTCACTAAATTGTTCAATTTGTTCCTTTTAATGTTTTTGTATATTTTATGTCAGCTTCTGAGAGTATATGAAATTCCGTGATCTTTGAGCAGTATACATCTGTCATATCTATAAATAGTCCGCAAAACAAACAGCAAATTGAACTGAAAGTTAACAATTCAGCTTTGGCTAACTGTATTGTAATTAGAGTAATGATAATGTCTGTGACATGCACATAGCAATCACAGAATAATTACTGGTAATTACCTTCAGGAAAAGTACTTGGCAACAGATAGAAAAGAATATAGTAAGATTTAAAGGCACATCATTAGTTTTTTTTCTTTTTTTTTTTTACTTCATTTTTTTCACTAGTTTTCTGTGTACAATGCTTGGATTATGCCATTTAATGACTTAAGTGAAGAAAATATAAGAAATTGGTCATTACTAATACATTACATTTTATATTTCTAAATTAAAAATTGTGGAAAACAAAAATGGGTATAATATTTAGAGTTAGAAGACTAATTCTGGCTCTCCTGCTTAATAATTTAGATAAGTTTTTTAACTTCTCTAAGCCTTTGTTCATCTGTTCTAATCGTACTTATTTAACAGGATGATGGTGTGGGTAATATTTATGAGATGATATATTTGAAAATGCTTCATAAACTGTAACAGTTGATACAAATATTAGTTTATTCTAGAATTTTCTGTAAGAACACTTTAAGAAATAGCTTCTGTTAGAAACCTGCCATTAACTTCATGACATTCTGAGGTAGATTATGTGAAACTGATATTTAGTAGTGCTTTATCATGTGTTATCAATTTCTAAATATCAAAAGAACCTCGGAGTGACACGGTTCATCAAATTTGACACCTCCCAGGCACGGTTCAGTGGTTTAGGTAAGGAAGTTCGACTGCTGAGTGACAAATCGCATCATTGCCATGCATCTCAGGGGTCTGCTGTGGATTCATTTATTAAGTATAGGATCTTCCGCCGGGGCAGTGGTCTAGACGAGCTGGAGAGCCTGTCGGGCAGGACTGAGCCTATGTCCTGTAGCCTAAGTTACGTACAGCTGAGTCTGTAAACCCTGGCAGTAATCCACAGACCCTAGACCGTCTCCCCCAGACCATGATGCCAAAGACGTTTGCCTTTCTCTGCTTTTTTCCTTGTTGTTCCACCTTCTTTAATTCTCTGATATCTTCTTTGCTTTCTTTCTCGCTCATCTGTTCTTTCCTTAGATCTACAGCATATCCAGAAATGTATGTATGAGGCCAAAAATTTTAAAAGCTATGTATGTTATTTTAATGACTCTTACTTGTCTAAGGGCCATGCTCCAAAGTACCATTTGCATCCTTTAATCATTCCACGCGTTCTCTCTGAGTGAACTCCGTGGCTCTAAGCCATTTTATGTATTGATAGCTCCTAAATGTGTGCCCCCAATTTAGCACTTTCTGGGTTTACACGTATCTCGTTGCCTGTTGGTCATACCCATTTAGATATCCAACTAGCAGCTCAAATTCAACGTGCCCCAAATTCATACTCCTTCCACTCGAAGCCATTCTCCCCGCTCAGTATTCCCAGTTTCGGTGAAGAGCACCATTGTCCACCCATTTGCCCAGCCCGAAATCTGGACATCATCTATGATTTCTCTTTTTTACTCTTTCAGTAAACACCTGTTAGTTATCAAGCTAAAAGAGTAGGGTATAGTCAAGAAAGATTGTTGGACTATTTTGTGTTGATAATAAGCACTTAAATGCCAAGAGGCAGATTCGGCTGAAGGGTCGAAGTTGAAGATAAACCGATGGGGGAGGTTCCTGGGAAGGAGATGGAAGTGGTAGGGACCAGAGTAGACGGGTGTGTAGAGCAGAGAAGGCACATTTCTTTCTCTTTGGCAAGCAGAGGGGCAGCCCGTTTTCCGTAGTTTAGTGGTTACCATGTTCGCCTGACAAGCACAGGGGTGTAGGAAGTTGAAAGATATTTATATCTCTCCATCCCTCCTGCTTGTTAATGCTCTGTATTTTTTCTGTGAGTTAGGAGGCATGGTGTCTGCTGAGCGTGAGGAATAAAGTAGAGGAGTAGGGGACTTTTGAAGAAGAGTTCAAATATCTGCTTTAGGGAATGGCCAAGAGCGCATAGGAAAGATGACAAGCAACGTTGAGGTTCTCAATGATGGTGAAATTGTGAATCTGGGGACAGTAATAGAGCAGACTGACATCTGGGCTGATCTTTTGCTGGGCGGGTGAAACAGTGGAACAAGGATCCTGAGTGTTTGGACGGGAGGATTACCTGTTGCTTCCTCTCTGTCCAGCCTGAACTGCACAGGGTCCAAACCAGTGTGAGAATCCTCACGGTTTTACTCTTCTGTTTTATCTGTCCTGCAAATCCCCAGACTTGTACCTGCCCCATTCATATACAAAATCAATTGAGCATTGCTGATAAAAATGATTAGTAGTACAGGTTAAAGTCACTATAAATTTATAATTTCCGATTCCAAATGGACCATTAGTACCCCTGACAATTCTTTAACTTCAATCACTTTACCTTCCTATTCTTGACTCTCTGAGTCTTGTGTATAAACCTCCCGTCCATCCCAGCTCTCTTTCGATCATTTCTCTGTTTTCAGTTTCCTGGGCAATTTTAGTTTAGGTATGTCTTTAGTAAAAAGTATTTATATAGATTAAAAATTGTTTTCATTATCAAGTGTGAGAGTTCTCAGTATTTTAAAAACTGAGTTAAATTAAACTTGTCCATGTTACTAATAGGTTTAGACTAATTCCAAATACCTTTTTTGTTTTGTTTACTTGTCTTTTTAAAAAACAGCATTATTAAGCTATAATTGATATATGTACAATAAACAGTACATGTTTAAAGTGTACAATTTAATAAGTTTTAAAATAAATATACACCTATGAAAACCATCACCACAGTCA